GAGGCTCGGGGCCTGGGAAGGAGGGAGGGGGGGCTCCGGGCCTGGGATGGAAGGAGAGGAAGGCTCCAGGCCTGGGAAGGAGTGGGGGGCGGGGCTCCGGGCCTGGGAAGGAAGGAGAGGGGGGCTCCAGGCATGGGAAGGAGGGAGAGGAGAGGAGAGGCTCTGGGCCTGAAAGGAGGAGAAGCAAGGCTCTGAGCCAGGCTGTGATCAGCCCCAAGTGTCAGGGCTATTTGGACACCTGACTTAGGAAGGAGAAGGGGCTGATTCTGACATGAGAGGTGTCAAAGCACTCCATGCCTCAGTTTCCCCTCTGAAAAGGGAATGAATATAGCATGGCTGGGTTACTGCCAGGACTTAAAGGCCTGGTCCAGCACAGGGGGCTGGGGCTGGCAGCTGTGACCACGGACACCTATGCAGCCTAAGACCTCTCTGGCTGCTCCAGTCAGGACACACAGCAGACCTGGCCTCGGAGCCTCTGAGGACAGCCTTGAGGGCACCGCTGGGTCCCCATGTGGCTCTCAGGCCCAGCACCCTCTTCCTGGCAGGCAGAAAACTGATGCTTGGTAGAGTTAGAGACTGCATCAGCACACACAGCAGGTGATTGATAAATGACCTGGCCACATGCCCCAAGCCAGGGAGCAGCTGGCATCTAGGTGTTCTGGAAGGAGGCAACTTAACGACAAACTGGAGGCAGCCACCGGACAGTGACCCGGAGCCCACGTGGCACCGCGCAGAACCGGGCACTGCCACAGGGCGACTTCAGGCTCCACGGCCAGGACACTGGCAGTCGGCGTGACCCCACTGGGGGAGTGGTCATGGGTGAGGGTAGGGAACTTGAAGAGGCCACGGGCCATCACGAGCAGCGGCCACTCCTAGCTGGTTCTGTGTGGGGAGGGTGAGGCCAAGTGGCTGCAGGGCGCTCCAACCCACCCTCGGGTCCCAGAGCCCCACCTCAACCTCCACTATGCCATCTTTGGGAAATTTTTATACATCTTTGACACACAGGCGCTCTGCCCCAAGCACACTGCTCCTGTCTACTCTGCCGTGGGCCACCCTCGTGGAGAGATGGCCATCTGCCAGGAGTGCCCACCCCTCCCTTGGCAACTCACTTCCACCTCTGCTACAAACCCGAGGATGACCCCTAGGCCCGAGGTCGTGGGGATAGTGGTGTGTGAGCCTGGCCTGGCTGCGTGGACTGTCGTGTGTGCACCATGTGGCCCTGGCCACGGCTGCATTCCAGGCCTTCCTGCTTCCAGGCTGTGTGTCACTGGGCAGACGCTCACCCTCTCTGAGCAAGGACACAGGGAAAGGCTGTGTGGTGTGGGAAGTCTTCCTACATGGGAGCCTTGTCCTGTGGGGACAGCCTCAATCTGCAGCATGCAAACAGCCAGAGTCCGGCCCAGGGCAGGCAGCTCACAGACTCTGTGGGGCCCGGAGAAGGGCAGACTTGGAGTCACAGGGGCTCCATGACGAGATCCCCAATCCCACGGTCCTGGTCAGAGTGGCACAGTGGGGTGGGCATGTCAGGCAGGCAGTCATACCAGGGCCCCTTTTTCTCAGATGAGGGTAAGGAGGAAGCTTCACTTGCTAAGTGGAGGTGATGAGTTCCAGAACCCCTGATTTATCAAAGAAGCTGGAAATCTTCAGGTTTTTGGTGTATTTTTGAGACAGAGTCTCATTCTGTCACCCAGGCTGGAGTGCTGTGGTGCAATCTTGGCTCATTGCAACCTCTGCCTCCTGGGTTCAAGCGATTCTCCTGCCTCAGCCTCCTGAGCAGCTGGGATTACAGAGATGCACCACCATGCCCAGCCACTTTTTGTATTTTTAGTAGAGATAGGGTTTCACCCTGTTGGCCAGGCTGGTCTCGAACTCCTGACCTCAACTAATCTGCCCGCTTCAGCCTCCCAAAGTGTTGGGATTACAGGTGTGAGCCACCATGCCTGACCCAGATATCTCATTTCTTTTTTTTTTTTTTTTTTAGTTTCTTTTTTCTCTGACAGACATTCTGAATGCATAGAAATCTTATGTTTAAGTGAGTTCTCCAGATGTTTAAATGGTGGCTCCTAAACACATTCCATTTCAACCCTGTGTCTAAAACAGGTGGCCAGCGCCAGGAGCAGGGCTGGCCTCAAGGCAGCGGCCAGGCATTGGCCTTGCAGGTATGGACCAGGGTGCCCGTGGCCTAAGAAGGTGTCCCAGACTGGCTGGCCAGGGATTTGCCACACTGCAAGAGCCTCTGACAGCGAGCAACCCCAGGACTGTAGGTTTCACGCCCCATCTCCCAGCTCACCTGGGTGCCCTACTGCTGGGGCGCCATGTCCATCAAGGGCTTCTGGACCCCGAAGGCTGTGATGAAGATGTTGACCACCACGATGATGAACACCAGGCCCGTGGCCAGGTTGTTGAGGAAGTCCAGCTTGGCATGCTTGGCCGGGTTGTTAAGGTCATACTTGACTGTGGGCGAGAAGAGTGGACAGTGCCAAGGGCAGCCCAGATGGAGTGTCCAGCCCGGGACAGTGGGAGGGGACCCACCCCGGTGGTCAGACTGTCCCGGAACACTACAGTGCCCTCAGTGGCATTTAGGATGAGTTTTGTCCCCCAGAGAAAAATACATCTGTTTTGCTTAAACACTGACCATAGCGCCCCTGGTTGGGCAGCCCCACTGTCTGTGACCCCACCTTCTGTAGCCCCTGCACTTTTTAGGAATTGAAGCTATGGATGTCAACCCAAGGCCAGGCTTGGGCAAATGCACTGTGTTCTTTGTGTGCCTTAATCTAGCGATTCCTGCCACAAACTGCAGTTCTGTTAGGGTGCCTGTTTAATAGGTTCAGCCACTTGCCCAAGGTCACGCAGCCAGGAGGAGGACCCTGGTCCCAGGTGAGGGCTGGCATGGCAGAGGCCATCTCACGGCATGGGTCCACAAGAGCCTAGTGAAGCACTTGCCCTAATGCCCACAGGCCAGGCCCTGATTCTCCTCTGTGTGGTTCATACCTGTCCTTCCAGCACTTTGGGAGGCTGAGACAGATCACGTGAGCCCAGGAGTTTGAGACTAGCCTGGGCAGCATAGCAAGACCCCGTCTCTACCAAAAGTGAAAAAATTAGCTGGCATGGGGGCACACAGCTGTGGTGCAGGCTGCCTGGGAGGCTGAGGCAGAAGGCTCGCTTGAGTCTAGGAGGTTGAGGCTGTAGTGAGCCGCAAAAGGACAGAGCAAGACCCTGTCTCAAACAGAACAAAACAAGGCCGAGTGTGCTGACTCACGCCCGTAATCCCGGTATCTTGGGAGACCAAGGCTGTGGGATCGCCTGAGCTCAGGAGTTCGCCTGGGCAACAAGTCGTAACCTCACCTCTGCGAAAGACACAAAAATTAGCCGGGTGTGGTGGTGAGCGCCTGTAATCCCAGTTACTTTGGGGGCTCAGGTGGAAGGATCGTTTGAGCCCAGGAAATGGAGTTTGCCGTGAGATGAGACTGCGCCACTGCATTCCAGCCTGGGTGACAGGGGGGACCCTGTTTCAAACAAAACAAAACAAAAACCAAAGTACAGGGTGGGGGAGGTGCCACTTCCTGGACTGCATGTCTGGGTGGCGAGGGCCAGGGACCCGGCAGCTCCTTGAGAGCCAAGTATGCAAGGTGGTGGGCACCCATTCCAGGCGGTGCGAGCAGATGCCAGCAAGGTGAGCAGGCAGCCCGGCCACCCCGACCCAGGGACCTACCGAGGAAGATGAGCAGCACCCCTACGCCAATCTGCAGTGCCAAGGAGATGGAGATGAGGACCACCAGGGGCACGTAGAAGGCGAAGCTGGGGCCCTGTTCCACAACAGCCTTCAGCTGGGACGCATTGGCCATCAGCAGCGCGATATCCAGCATGCTCTCCGCCGCGCTCTTCTTGTTGGCGTAATGGTTCACGTTGATGGGCCTGTGCCTCCAGCCCCAGCGGGGCGGCTGCAGGGAGGGGGCGGTCAGCGCACGGGTGGGGGAGGCGGCAAGGGCTGTGTCTGGGTCTGGCTATGGGGGTGGGCAGCGCCCTGCAGGTGAGGGCTTCGCTTGTCCCCACCCCTGGTAAGTATTCAGACAGAAGTGCTTATTACTCTAAGGAGAGGCAGCGAGAATGTGCTTGGCCTTTACGAAACCTCCCCTAGGAATACAATTCTGGAAAGGAAATGACAGCAGCCTCAGTACACGCACTCTGGTTTTCCACTGGAAAGCGCTGCCCGATCCTCCTCCTGCTATAGGCGGGGCTGCTCCTCCCTGCCTGCCCCTACCTGCCTGTGCCCCCGGCCTCCTCTCCCCCTTCCCTCAAAGTCTGGGCTGCTGGTGCCAGCAAGGGAAGTGACGTGTGGGCGGACGGATCTGTGCACACTGGCCCAGGCAAGAAAGCAGCCTTCCTGGGCTGCACCTAAGGGCTGAGATGGCTCCTGCCACCTCCCAACCTCCCAGCCTTGGGGCCCAACAGGCCACTCAGCCTTCAGGCCTCAGCTCGGGGCTTGCAAAACTATCTGACCATTAGCGGTAAGCCCTGACTGAGGTGGGGCACCCAGAGCCTGGCCCCCACACAGCAGGCGCTCAATCGATGCCTCAGTATATGACATCCAGTGGATCTCAGCTTCCACATTAATTCTCAGAGTAATGACATGAGGATGTGAGCTCTGATGGAATCCTCTCTGCCTTAGGTTACGAGGCCCATCTGGGAGGGGCCCCCTGCAGTTCTCTTGAAGGCCCCAGTGCCTTTCCCTGTTGCCAGATACTATCATGCTCCAAGGCCCCACACAGAGCCCACTGCTTCCAGGAAGCCTCCCAGGACTTCCCCTGGCAGGACACGACCCACTCTCCTGCCACAAGAAAGTCCTCTCTAGGGCTGGCCTTTCATTCCAGGGCAGCCCTAAGTACCCAACTTCCTCTTTCTCGGGAAGCAAGAGTCCGTCCTTTTCAAGCTGCCCTGGTGGAGCCCCTCTTCAGTCACTCAGGACAAACCTGCCAGCCCCCTGGCCTGGCCCTTTGTCTGTAGGTGCCCCTCAGCCGCCAGGCCCTGGACCACAGCCTCTCAGGACTGGTCACCTGCTTGGAGGCAGCTGTAAGAACCCACTACTGGCAGCCGACCTCCTGGGGCCCGCTCTGGGAGATCCTGTTTCCAGACTCATGAAAGATGCAGGCCGGGAGGCCGGGGTGCCATAGGGCTGCAGGGAGGGGCGGGCACGGGCATCCATCCATGCCTCGACCTTCTGCAGGCTGGAAACACGCACAATGAAAAATACATGAGACAGCCAATACAGAACTAGCAGAGGGCAAAGGCCTTGCTTTCATGCTGCATGTGTTTTAGTTTCATCTAAAATTATGTGCCCAGGAGGAAGAGAGAGTGGGCGTCGGGGGACAGCAGGAGGCTCTGCTGCCTACAACCTGCCTTCGGCATCAGCTGCTCTCTAAGTAGCAAGTTCACGTGGCCAAGAGTGTGCACAGGACCAGCCGCCTTCACCTGGGCCAGCCAGCAGCCCTGTCCCTGGGGCCCTGGTGGGTTCTCGGGTCGCTCCACATATACCCCAAAGCCACTTTGGGGTCTCTACTTTGCCTCTCCCACACTGGGCCTGACTGCACTCCCGGGGATTCCCTCAGGCCCCAGCACACGAGGACATGGCTACTTCCTCCCAGGCCACCCAGGGTCTGGGCAAGGACGGCCCGGACTGAGGGCCTATGCCCAGCACTGAGGTCGTCTCCAGCTCTGCTCTTGCGAAACCACCCAGTGGGCCACACCCCATCACACATGTGTTCCACGGGGTGCAGTGTCCTGGGGGCTGCTGGCCACGGTGGGCATGTGCTCCTAAGTTTCACAAACGTCAAGTGCCAAAGTGCCTCCCATCAAGGCCACCCTAATACTCATTTGGGTCCCCATCCCAGGACTTGGTACTAGGAGAAAAAGGCCAGGTGCAGACCCTGTGAGGATTTCCACCTTCCGGGGGCATCTACACATGTATATGCATGTTCCTAGTCACAGATACAGAAACACACAGCCCCTCACAAAAAGACACATTACACACAATATAGCACATGCACATACATACACAAACTACACGCACATAAACAGACACACATACCCAGGCTAACCGTGTTGGCCTCTGGACAGGAGGAAGAAGTCCCTTTTTTCTTTTTTTTTTTTTGAGACAAGAGTCTTGCTCTTGTTTCCCAGGCTGGAGTGCAGTGGCTCAATCTCAGCAAACTGCAACCTCTGCCTCTTGGGTTCAAGTGATTCTCCTGCCTCAACCTCCCAAGTAGCTGGGATTACAGGTACCTGCCACCATGCCCGGCTAATTTTTGTATTTTTAGTAGAGACGGGGGTTTGCCATGTTAGCCAGGCTGGTCTCAAACTCCTGACCTCGTGATCCACGTGCCTAAGCCTCCTAAAGTGCTGGGATTACAGGCGTGAGCCACCACACCCAGCCAGAAGTCAAAAGGGTTTTTTCTGAGCTCTGCAGAACCATTTAAATATTTCATATTTAAATATTTCATAGCCATGCAGTCACAGGGAACACTGAGATCCAGTAAAAAGCATCATCTGCACAGAGCCTCCAGGGCCCCAGGCTTCAGCTCTCAGCACCCCCGGGCACAGGGGGCTTGTGCCCCTGCTGTCCTCATGCCCACTTAAGGTGGGTAAACTGAGGCACGGCAAGACGGTTCCTTACGCAAAGCCACATAGCAAGTGAGTGCTGGGCTAGGATTTGAACCCAGGCCTGAGGGCTTAGAAACCCTGGTGGCTGACACCACCGTCCCTCCCTTTAGGGGCTGAGCTCTCAGGGGCTCCCTGCTTCAGGCTCCAGCTATGTAACTTCAGGACAACTGGCCCCACTTTGTGCCTCCGTCTCCCATGTGTATCACGAGGCTGTGGAGCAGATGCCCCGGGATGGCCTCCAAGCCCTCAGTGGCCAGCAAATGCCCTGAGCACACATCCCTGATAGGGAAGGGCACTTACAGCCCATCCGGCCATCTGCTTCCTATCCAACCTGCAGTTAGGGAAGCTTCTGCACAAGGGTCAAGCCCTGGCTCACCACAGCCCAGCCCGTGGCCCTGGCACAAGCTCCCCCTCCGTGGGCCTCAGTCTCCCGCTCCATACGTCTGGGGCTGCACCTGAGAAACTCCCACTCACCGAGTGAGAGGCCATGTTCCTCTCCCATTCTACAGACCAGCAGATTGCAGCTCGGAGGTGGTTTGCCCAGAGCCGCCTCCCAGGACTGCGTGTCCCAAAGCGCAGGGCTGCCCTAGGATACAGAGTAGCTGGCAACCACCCCGGGCAGCAGGCCACCTTGGGAGCGTCACGTGGAAGGGAAGGCAGCAGGGCTGGTCTGCTTCCCTGTCCCTAACCTCAACGCTCTGGAGCTGATCACCACATAGAAGGGCCCCAGGGAGGATGATCCTACTCTCCCCCACTCCTGGGCACTTGCCCCTGTCTTGGGATGGGCTTTAGGATGGCCAGGGGACCCAGCCACCACAGGGGAGGGAGCCCTGTGATCCTCACCAGCCAGCAGAGGTTGCCAGGAGCCGAGCCCTGCCGAAACCCGAGCCCATCGCTTGGGCAGTGCAGAGAATAAACACCGTGGTTAACATATTCCCAGGGCCAATGGGACTTCCCTGAACCTCAGCAGCACCCAGGGCCTGGGGTCAGGCCAGGTATTTTTCCTTTGAAAGCTAGGAAGGAGGCTGGGTGAGGAGGTAGGCTCTGTGCAGGGGTGTGGCCAGCTCCTCTGGCTACCTTCTGTGGACGGTCAGCCTCGCCACTGCGGGCTGCACGTGTTGGGGCTGGGACACACGGTGGGTCCTAGGGCCACTTCAGTGAGCATCCTCAGCTCAGGCAGGAGGGGCTGGCACAAATGTGGGATATAAACCAGGCTTGCTGCATCCACAGGCCTGGCTGTGGCCATAGCGTAATGGGTGCTCCGGCCCACCCAGGGCTTGGCTGGGAGGAGACAGGGTGGGGGGCTGTGGCCCCACAAATGTGGTGATGCCGATCAGCTGCCCCCTTCCAAGGACCTGCGAGGAGCAGGGCTGGAAGCTGCCACAACACTGACCAGTAGAGTGACTGACCACTCTATGCCTCAGTTTCCTCATCTGTAAAATGGGCAGACAAGGATGTGGAGTGGACTGAATGGGGTGGTCTCAGAGGCCCGGTGGCAGGTGGAGCACATGGCAGTAGGTGGCAGGGTCGGGGTGTTCTTCCTTGATGCCTAGCTCTCACTGTTTTGAAAGACTACCTCCCCAGCCAACTCCACCCACTCAAAAGCAGCTGAACAGGCTTGCAAAATAGTGGCATGGCAAAGAAAGGACAGCCCGGGGCACAGGTTCTCCTGTGCTAACCAGGACCCAGGTGGGCAATGAGGATGAGTTGCTGGTGGTCCCAGTCTAGACCTTGGCTGACTGCAGCCTGTCCTGCTCCCCGGCCGTAACCCTTGGACTCAGCAGGCATGAGCAGATGGTGGGAGGACCTGAGAATCAAGCACCCCTCCTTCCACCTACCATATGCTAGGACCTACCTGGGGCCTCCGGCATCCCTTGTCTGACCCACCAGTGGGGGCACGAGCTGCTGTGTCCATCCATTCCCCAGATGCCACACAGACAGGTGGGGGCTGGCACTGGAGCCCTCCCCATCTCCTACCAGCCAGCCCAGGATGCAGCTCCCGAGAGGGTCTCCCAGCTCTACGTGTGTGTTCCCGGCAGTGAACCCCAAGATAACAGGAAGTCCTGCCAGGCGGGGTCCCCACTACAGCTGGGCCAGACAGATCCACTTCCCTCCGACTCAGCACTGGCCAGGAGTGGCCCTGAGACCATGTTGGGGTTGCCTTTTAGAACTTGGCCCAGGCCCTGCTGGCCTCGGGACCTGCCGGGAAAGCAGAAATGAGGGAGCAAACTTCCCCCGGGCAGCCGAGGCCATGCGCAGCCCAGACAGCTGGTATACAGGACACAACTGCGTGTCCCCGAGGACCAGGCCTCTTGGCCCAAATGTGACCCCAGGAACCTTCAACCTGCGGGCTGTGAGAGGCGGGAAGATGTGGCTGGCACCAGAGGACCGTGTCCCAATCTCATCCCTACCACTTCCCTGCCTTGAGACGCCCTGGGGATGACAGATTCAGGCCATTTTCACATTAAAATTGTTTACTGTTCCTTGCGCTGACAGCCACAAGTGAGCTGACTCAACCCCTGGACAATGATGGGGGCCCTGAAATGAAGGGACACGGGGCACAGGGCACACGGGGCGGGGGAGACATGAGAGCTTCCCACGGCCCTGCCCAACAGAGCCCACCCAGGCCGGAGTTCCACATGCAGCTCCTCCCTAAGCCTTGGCCACCCTGGGAGGTGAGCAGTTGTACCCCATCCAACAGAAAAGGAAACTGAGGGTCTCCTTGGGCCCCATACTGGGCAAAGTGCTGCCCTCTCCAAACCACAGCCAGGGGTCACCACTGGGAGAGGGTCTCCACGGCAGGCAGGAGTGAGGATGGGGGCACTGAGTGCTGGCCTGTCTCCAAGCACTTCATGCACATCAGCCACTGAGTCTTCACCATGACACTGCAGCAGGTACCGCTTCACGCCCATTTCACAGATGAGACACTGAGACACAGAGTACTGACATGATGTACCCAAGAAATGGAGAGGCAGGATCTTGAGGGTGGGAGGAGGAACGGGTGTTGGGTGTGCCTGGACCCCCAGGCTGGGTGAGTACAGTGGCCCTGCAGGTTTTCTACCCCTCAAGGAGAAATGAGCTCATCCTCACACTGGCTCATAGCCTTTCCATAGCTCCCTGGATGCCAGACCACGATCAGGCCTGCAAGTCCCCTCCCTGCAGCCTGGCTTCCCATTCCCGCACCTCCTACCTGGCCCTCCCATGCTCCATGGTCCAGCCTCTGAGCCTTTGCTCCTGCTGCTCCTTCTGCCTAGATGCCCTTCCACACATCTCAGAGCCAGATCTGCCCACCTGCCTTTCCCGCCCTCCAGGGCTCAGTGCTAATGTCCCCACCTCCACGGAAAGCCTTCCCTGACCTCGGTGCCCACCCCACAGTGGGCTGCCAGCCCCTAGGGAACTCCACGTTTTGCCTTGGCTTCCCCTGCACTGTCGGGGCTGGGCTGCTCTCCAGCCTCCACACGGAGGTGCCCGGAGCACCCTCCCTCTGGTGTCTCCCACCCTCTGGTGTCTCCCTCCCTCTGGTGTCTCCCTTCCTCTGGTGCCCAGAGCAAAACAGTGATCCGGGAACAAACCCAACCCAATCTCCTCTGGGGCTGAGATGCACCCAGAGGCTCCAGGAGGCACAGGCCATCCTGCCACCTGCAGAGGTGAACAGAGACTCCTCTGAGTGGAGGGCATTGCCCGGGCAACGTCAACAGTGGGGGAGGAGCGGTATCCTTCCCTTTCCAGGGTGTTCCCAAACCACCCCGTTTATTACCTGACTTGCTTCCCCCACTTCCCTGAAGGCAGGAGGGAGCCTGTTCTCTCTTTTTAAGACCATGTCTAAAAGGCCCCACGAGCTGCGACATCTTCACAAGGACACACAGTCGGAAGGCCCCCCTGCCTATTGCTCCAAAGTGCTCACAAGCTGGGGCAGGGCCAGGTCCCTGGGGTCCCGAACACCAGTCAAGTCCTGCAGTGCGACAGCTCCTCTCAGCCCTGTTTCCTCATCTCTATCCTAGGAACAAGTGTCCATGCAGCCCCAGGGCCACCCTATCCTGTGGCTCGTGGGGCCCCTCCTCCCTGAACACGGCCTGTCCCCACAGCACCGTCCTAGGACTGTTCACCAGCACCTGAGCAGGGTATCTTTGCCCCAGTCTGGTCCCTGCCATAGAGAGGGCTGGAAAAACCCAACAGACTGCTGTTTCCTGCCCGGATCCCTGGGGGGGCGGGTATGGGGGGGCGGTGTCGAAAAGGAAAGAATGTCCAAAGTAAACAAGTCACCAGAGGGCAGTGCCAGGACCTTGCAGCAAACACAAGGTGCTCAGTAAGTGCAGAGTCCTGGGATGAAGAATTCTGAAGCGTGGACCACCGCCAGCCCGCCCGCTGCCCACAGCCTTCCCAGGCCCGGCGGGGCAAGCTCTGGAGGGCCTGTAGGGGGATACCCTAAAGGCTGTGTAACGTTTCTTTTCTCAAGATGAGTAAGTGGAGTAGGAACCACAGAGGGGCCCAAGTGCTCCCATCAAGGCACGCATCAGATTGTGTGGTCACCTCGTGGTGACGTAACTGTCTGCATGCTGCTGGCCTGGAGCCCGGAGGCTGTGACTCCTCCCTGCCCGTCCCCGGGCAAAGTGCGCGGAGGAGCCGGCATGGCGAGGCTGAAGTTAGAGAGAGGGGCGCGGGAGTCGGGGGAGGCCAGGAAAGTGGGGCGTCAGAAGTCCTTAGCCGGAGGAGCGGCGCCCAGACCCCCACCGCGCAGCCAAGCGCGGGCGCTGCTTAGTGGGGCTGGGGACGCCAGCCCGCCCTGCGCCCCCGCGCCCCCACGTCCCACCCACTTGCCAGGGTGGCTGGAGCTCCTGGGGGCATCGTTCTGACCCCGACGGGGCGGGAGGGACTTGGCCTGGACAGGGCGTCCCCCGCCACTCTGCAGTGCGGACACGGCGCGCACTCGGCCCGGCGCCCACAGGTGCCCGGGGAGCCGCGGGGCCCCGAGAGGACCGGGCGGAGCAAGGTCACGCAGCGGCGGGGGGAAGGTCTTACCGAGGCGTCCGGGGAGCCGGGCGTGCCCGGGGGCAGGACGCCGTTGAGCTCGTACTCGTCGGTCCCCGAGTCCATGGTACGGCCGCCCGGGCCGCCTGGATCCGGGCCTGAGCTCGCCCGAGCCTCCGCCGCGGGTTCCAGCTGTGCGCCCGCCCCCGGCCCGCCCCCGGCCCGCCCCCGGCCCAGACTCCGCCTCCACCTGGGGCGGGCCCGGAGCCGGGATGCCGGACGCGGAAAGCGCGCAGTCAATGGGGTCCCCAACCTCCCCGGTCTGAGACTCCCCCGCGAGGTCCCCCAAGGGAGGGGGGCGCGACGCCGATGGCCCCAGGGGACCCCGCGCGGCGTCTTGCTTTGAACCTCCGTCGCGGACACTTTTAATCCACAAAATGAGGTCAAGAACCGACCTTTCCCTGGCCACCGAGCAAACTGTGCGAAGGCGAACGGGCGTTGCCGCTGGCGCCCACGTTGGGTTTTTCCCAGGCGGGGTTCGCCCTGAGAACCGCAGAACGCTCCAGCACAGCGCCTGCCGCCCCCCAGTGACAGCGTCAAGAGTTCGGGGGTCTCCCGGAGGGCGCCGCCTTGCCCTAGGGCGGCACTCTGTGCCCAGGCCAGTCAGCAGGGTATGGGTCAAGTGTGTTGGCCCTTCCAGCCCTTGACTCAATCGGCCTTTTTTTCCCGGACGTCCTGGTGAGCCTCTTCCAGGCTGGAAAGCCAGGTGAGATGCAGAGGACGTTATTTCCCCTTGTGGCACTGGCTGCAGGAGCTTGGGGTGAAGGCTGGGCTGCTGTGTCTTCTACTTCAGGCCTTGACCTCACTCCCAGATCCCACTGCTTCGTAGCCACCCACTCCTCCAGGGCCCACCCAAGACGTGCATTCTCTCACTGTGTCTGCCGATGCCTCCATTAAAGCCTCCAAAAGAGTGAGCGGGCACTTGATCCTCCCGACCTCCCTGGGGAGGTCAGATGGGGGCCACTCTGCCCGTACCCTACGTCCCAGAACTGCCACCCGGTAGCTATGTGGGCTCAGGCAGGTGGCTTAATCTCTCTGTGCGTCAGCTTCTCTGTCGGTGCTACTAGCATAAGGCTGGGGTTTGGTCAAGGCCCGTGAGGATGATCCCTTCTCCCTCCCTGTGAAGAAACAAGAGCAGAGAGGTTAGGTAGCAGTGCGCAAGATCGCCAGGCAGCTCCTCGGGGCAGCCCGGGCCCCAGCCCAGCCTGGAGCTGCTTCCTGCAAGCAGGACCCTGCTCCTGTGGCGCTGATGCGGTCCAACGGTGAACAAAAGACACAGCGGCGTCAGTTCTTGTTTTACTGTCAGTCCTGGGAAGTGGGCATCCCCTGATGACCTGACAGGGGAGGAAACTGAGGCACAGCTTGGGAGAGGCCCAGGAGGGAGCCCTCAGCCCCGGACCCCCTGCTCAGAACTGCTGAGGAGGCTGTGCTGTTCCCTAGGCCGCAGCTTGCCTGCCCTATCCCCTGCCTCACTGGAGGTTCCTTCAGGTGAGGTCTGCTTGGCCCCCAGGCTGCACAGATGGCCACCCAGCCAGCCTTGGAACCCAGTGCCTGCCTCGCCCGTGTGGAGCCCCCATGCTCCCCCTAACCCATGCCTCACGCCTGCTGGGGGGAGGGGTGAGTTTTGTAAGTGAAACTGAAGGCACAGAAAATGCAAGTCACTGTGAGTGATTTTTCAGGAAAAAGGGGATCTTCCACCCTGTCTAGGCCTTGCTCCTGACTCATGGGCACATCTGTGCCACCTGTGGCAGGGGGTGGGCTGGCGGCAGCACAGTACCCAGAGCCCTGGCCAGCTGCTAGGCGGGGGCCCCACCTGTTGTATGCTTGAGGTGGCTGCTTGGCCTCTGTTGCTCCATCTGTTCATTCCTCAGTTCTTTCCCCACAGGGTGATCTGGGGGTCAAGAGCATGTGAGGGCCACCCTGGGAGGCCAGGGGAGTTCATCCTGACCACAGCATAGTCAGCATGTGGCAGCATGGCCACCCCGTTGGGAAGGAAGGCCAGCTCAGACCCTAGGTTCTGTCCAGCCAGGCCGCCACCAGCACAGGAGGTGGGAGTGTGTGGGCATGGGCAGAGCGGCAGTATTGCTCCTCCCAACGCGGTCATCCCATGAAGGGGGAGCTGTTGTCGGCCCACTTCACAGCAGAGAAACTGAGGCTCAAACTGTCACTGCTCCAGCCCTGCCTCCGAGGGGGTCTGTAGGACGGGGTCTGGCGCAGCGGCCCACGGCAGGGGCGGCTGCTGTTATCCTGGCATAATCAGGGCATGTTGGCGCACCTGAGTGTTCACCAGCAGCTGGAAATCCAGATTTTGAAATCAGCACCGTCCTCACAAAAAACCCACAATATGGGACAAATTCCTATTGTAGGGGACAGTGGCAGCCCACGAGGCTTGATTCCTGGAGGGGAGGCGGGTGGAGGACCACAGAGAAAATACGTCACACCCAGATTGGCCATGGGAGCTGCAGGGGAGCCCTGAGACCCCAGAAGGGCAAGGGCAGGTAGGCCCCCACGTGGGGGCAGGTAGAGAGGCCCTGAGGTTGGGAGGGGTTGTTGGCTGGAGACCCCATCCTGAGAGTGTGTTCTTCCCTTTGGGCCACACTAGGGCAGCCACCGTGGCGGAGGCAGCCTCAGTGGCGGTATGGCAGCTCTGGCAGTGTGGTTCATCATTCCTGCCTCTTTTTTTTTTTTTTGAGACGAAGTGCACTCCAGGCTCTGGAGTGCAATGGTGCAATCTTGGCTCATTGCAACCTCTGTTCAAGCAATTCTCCTGCTTCAGCCTCCCAAGTAGCTGGGGTTATAGGCACACGCCAGCATACCTGGCTAATTTTTTTGTGTGTTTTTAGTAGAGACGAGGTTTTGCCATGTTGGCCAGACTGGTCTCAAACTCCTGACCTCAGGTGATCTGCCTGCCTCAGCCTCCCAAAGTGCTGGGATTACAGGTGTGAGCCACCACACCCGGCCCCATTCCCACCTTCTAAGAGGAAGCTGGGAGGGTCGAAGCGCCAGTGACTGTTGGGAAATCAGCCTCAGGGTTTGTAAACCTACTCTGTGCTGGCTGCCTGAGACCCTCTCCCAGCCTGTTTCCTCAGCTCCTGGGGCTGCTGGGAGGACGTGTGAGTGCAAGGTCTCAGGCAGGCTGCAGCTCGGAGTGCCCGGCTCTGCTCTGTCATCCTCATTTGCCTATACAGTGTCTGCTTTCCCCACTGTGCTCAATGCTGTTTACCCAACTGTTCTCTGCTGGATCCAACCCCGGACAAGTCTTAAAGGCACAGTGCCCCCTGTGTTCCCTCTGTCCACCTACTTTCAAGTTCTCCTGGAGACAATGAGTGCATGAGCCATCCAAGACCAGTTCCCAGACACTGACCCTGAGTTGGGGGACGTGTCCCTAGGACAGACACAGAGGAGGGGTGTGGCTGGGAGGAAAAGGCTCTGAGGTGCCCCGGGTAGAGCTGCCCCATGTGTGGGTGGGTGTGCACGCACACACACTGTATATGCACAAGGGCCCCAGGCCTCTGCGGAGCAGCCCGCAGGGTATCTCAGGATGCCTCCCTGGGCACCAGGGAGCACCACTTACCCCCATCCAAGACCTCTAGCGGATTTTTCTGGGGCTGGCCTTGTGATGAGTTCAGATCTGTCTTCTAGCTTGGGATGTGCTTCCTCATATGTAAAGTGGGTCAATGGCAAGATGGAGTGTGAGGGCCACGGAGGTGTCTCCCCAGCCCGCTCCTCACAGTGCCACCTCAAGCAGGTGGCTCCATCCTGCTGACCAAGAATGGGGCCCCAGTGGGGCAGAGGACAGGTGCTCCGGAGGTGTGGACCTCCCACTCCCTATGCTGTCCTAGGAGCTGGGACTGAGTGTGGTCTGAGCATCCCAACCACCCCCCACTGTGGGGAGTACAGATGTGTCACTCAACCTGGGGGAACGTGGTGAAAGCACCAAGCTGTTGAAAGGTCAGCAGGTCCGACAGACCATGTTTTCAGAAGTAGCCAGTCCCTGGCCTCCTCCATCTCGGAGGGTGGCAGGCAGGGATGCCATTTCCATGTCACCAAGGGAGAAAGCAAGGTTGGCAAGGCGATGTGGCATGCCCGAGGCAACCCAGCTCTGCATGCCCAGCTGCCTGCCTGCACATGCTCTTGCTAATGTGAGTGGGAGAAGGAGGGGGCTGGCAGTTGGCCCAGGGCAGTGGCAACTCCCTGGAAGTCTGTGGTATTGCCAGCACTGGGCATGGCCCATTCACTCCCCGCCCACCGAAGGAGTTGTTACCTGGCATCAGGGTGGGCTCAGGAGTCTCCATTTCTATCAGGTGGTCCCCAGGGACCACAAGTCCCATAGGGTCAGTGCACAGAGCAGGGAAGTAAGGGAGGTGGGTGGGTAGTGTAGCCACCCCATTTCCAGAAGGACAGAGGGAGGCAGCCCAGGCCTGTGAGGTGCCGTGCCATCATCCCCACACCAAAGACGGGATGGGAGGCTCCGAGAGCGGAGCGACTCGCCAAGGTCACCAGGCAGGGCTCAGGGGGAGGGGAGGCACAGCCAAGTCAAGGATGATAAGGGGCCACGTGATGAGAGGTAAGCACCACGCAGGTGTGAGAGCCTCTCATGCTGTCCCCTAGAGAGGAGCAACGTGCCCAGGCTGCACAGGGAGGCACAGCTGGCCTTAGAAGGCCACAGAACACCAGAAACAAGGTAGATGTCCTCCACAAGGCAGCAGCTAAGTGGATAATGGCCATTGGCATTTGGGAGTGGGGTGGTGGAGAGCGGCTGTCGGCATTCGGGAGTGGGATAGCGGATAGTGCCCACCGGCGTTTGGGAGTGGGTTGTTATCATCTACAGAGCGAGTGAGGCCAGGCCAGCCAATGTGGAGGGGTCTAGCCACACTGGGCAGAGAATAGGCAGGAGCAGGAGGCCAGCCCCTGCTTCCTCTGCTGCATCCTGACATACTACTATGTTCCTGCCTGTTTCTGCATTTGTCTCTTCCACCAGGGCTCCCAAGGGCCAGGCTGGGGCTGATACTACTTTGCATTTGTGCCCAGCAAAGCTCTTGTCCCAAGCTGCTATAGCAAAGTGTCAGGGAGAGTAGTCATCCCCCACTATCTGTTCTTTCCTCCCCTCAGTCACAGGCTGCTGACTTTTGGGTGCACCAGTGGCTTCCCAGAATCAGAGCTGCATTTCTGTCTCCCCTGCAGCTAGAGGTACCCTTATGGCTACATTCTGGCAATGAAAGTGTTGTGTGCAACATCAGGGAAGGGATCCTAAACAGAAGGAGTGTGCCATTCTTTATCACTTTCTCTGTCCTGCTGGCTAGAAAGTGGATGTAATGGCTGGAGCTCCAACAGCCATGTTGGACCATGAGGAGACCTTGGGCATGGGAGCCTCAAACAGTGGAGCCAAACACAGAAGTAGCCCGCATCCATAATGCCTGCAGTAC